CACCCCCGTGGCCACGGTGCACCCGCGACCTGCTTCATGCCGGCCTTCCTCCGCAGCTGGAGCGAGAGCTGACCAAGAAGCTGAACGAGGTGCAAGGTCAGACCCGAGTTGCGCGGCAAAAGTCGGCCCGGCCCCCGGGCCCTCGGCCCCGGCTGACCCGCGAGTCTCCTTCCCTCAGGAGAGCTCAGTTGCTACCAAGACCAGATTGAGAGCGAGCTGGAGAAGAGCCGACCCAAACTGCGGGGAATCTACGCCGCCTACGTGCACGAAACGGGTGAGCGCCCGTCTCGCCGGGCGACAGCCCCGGGACGCCTTTTCACGGCGGGGCCCCCTTTTCTCGGCAGACCCTCGGGGCAAGGGTATCCCGGCGGACTCCACGTCCGACTCCGAAGATTGCGACCTCCAAAGCGCCAGCCGTCACCTCACGCAGAACTTCCTGTGCCGAGTGATGCGAGAGGAGGGAGGGTGGGGCCCCGAGGAGCGCGAGCGGGACCACAGAGAGACGGGCCCGGAGGCATCGCGCCGCCCGCCCTCTGTCGCCGACCTCCTGGACAGTTCCGCCTCTCTGGACCTCCGGCAAAGCTTCCGGATGTTCGGCGAGGACCGCGACAAGTCCGGTGAGCCGACCGCCCGCTCGGTCTTGTCGTCCTCGCTTGGCGCCGTCGGTGTCCATTCGTTGGTCCCCGTCATCCGGCGGCATCCGGGCGTTTTGCGTCCGTCGTTTTGTTCTCCGCAGAGGCCGAGGAGAACTCGGAGGGCGGCGACCTGGATCTGGACGGCATCGACGAGCTGGAGATCGACAAGGTGAGTTGAGCAATTGAGGGGCCGCAAAGCTGTTTTCCACCGCCGGCGTGTCGTCGTGTCGTGTCGCCTTCAGTACATCCTGAGTGACAAGGAGGTCCAAGTCAAGACGCGGCTGTGGACGCAGCAGAACCGAGAATACCTGCAAGAGCAGAAAGGTCCTGCCGAGACGCAAACGGTCAACCAAAAGAGGACCGACCGACCGCCCGCTGACCGCCGGACGCGTTTGTACCTTTCAGAGAAAGAAGAACAAATTCGGCGAGAGAAGGAAGACGGGACGTACCGGGAGAAGGTTGGCGCGTCGTCCGGCGGCCGTCGCGGGACGCGGGCGGCGGCTGACGGCCCCGTCCGCCTCTTTCTTTCTCTGCAGCCCGAGACGTCCGAGAAGACCAAGAAGAAGAAGAAGAAGAAGGAGGACGCCGTCCCTTTGGCCACGGCGGGCGAGGCCATCAAGAAGATGTTGGAGAAGAAGAAGATCTCGGCCAAGATCAACTACGACGTCCTCAAAGACCTCAACGGCGGCCAGACGGCGAGCGAGGCCGCCGGCCCTCCCGAAAAGGCCGCCCCCGTCACACCTGCCAGAAAAAGACGCCGCTGCAAGCAGGCGCGCGGCCACGTCAGGGCGGGCATGGCCACGAGCGCCACCGTCATGGGAAAAAGGTGACGTCCAACGACAACGCAAAAAAAAAATTTGAAAAACCGCCTTCTGTCGTCATTGCTCCCGACGGCCGATGTGCTTGAAAACGGCGTCGAGGGACACGCGAAGACGCCGCCGATTGAAATTGCAATTTGCTCCCGGCCACGCCCCCTCCGCCGCCCTCGCGCGTCGAGAGCTCCCGATGGATGCCAAGCAAGGGCGACTCGCTTTCGACCCTTCGGGCGCTGCCGCGGCTTCAGCTCACCCGCGACGTGATCGGCGTCGTCGTCTTAGCGTGCTCCGTCTTTGTTCCAGGCTGGGCCCGCTCTTCTCGGGACCGCCAAAGAAGAAGAAAAGCCCGTCCCAGGTGAGTGCAGACAAGACACTCCTCTCGCCGAGCGGTTGTGACGTTCGGCGCCTTTCCGTGACCGGGCGGCTCGGATGAGCGGGCGGACCGCTGTACCCAAGAGGAAAAGAAAAAAGTGACAATTGTTCTCATCGTGTGGATTTGAAAGGGGAAAAAAAAGCCCTGAGATACCCGTCTCGGATGGGCAAAAAAACGAGACTTGACCTGCGGTATGAATCTTGCAGGTGGTTTCCATGACGACGGACACCACGGGAGCAGGACCCGACGCGGCCGAGGGGGACAAACAAGAGCAGGGCGAAGAAGATGAAGAGGAGCGGGACGAGGACGACGAGTGTGTCGGCGCTCTGCAGCTTGTTCAACGTCAGCGGACGCAACAATCGGCACATTGCACTTTGCCGCCTTGTTGATTGACATTTTCACCATCATTTGTTGTTGTCGTCGTCTAGATTTTGGCTGTTTGGCGGAAGAAGAGGAGGAGATCTTCTAGCTCGGCTCTTCAGCAAACTTTTTGTCGAGATAAGCATGAAAATGTGGAAAGCGAGGTGGCAGATTAAAGACCCGCCATGGAGCAAAACGTGATCGTTTGACTTCCTGGCATTTGGCGCCAAGACAGCAAGCGACGC